TGCTTTGATTATGGTTAGTTCTAGTGGCTAATCATAATATTTCTTAAATTAATTCTCATTTGCTTTCTTACGTAGCTAAACCAATGATATACCTGATATAAATATGAAATTTAGATTAAGTCATTATTCTACATTAGAAACATGAATATAAGATAACCATATACATACAATGTATATAAGACTATGTATGTATATATATGTTTGTATACCATATATATTGAAATACATGCCCTTCAACTGATATTAGCATAATTCATAACAAGCTTCGCAGTTGCAAAGAATATATAGTGAAACAACGTTTGCTATTTATTATAAGTCGTTAAAAGTGGCATTTTTGATTCCAGGGTTTATTGGCTGTGCTGTCAACAATAAGAAGTCACTTGCCATATGTGCTTACAGAGCACTTGAAATATCACTAGTAGGAATTGAGATGTGCTTTAAATGTAAAATTCACAATGCGAACAAAAGAATGTAAAATATCTCATATTTTTATATTGATTGTATGTGGAAATGACAATATGTTGGATATATTATGTTACATAAAATGCTATTAAAATAAATATCACTGGTTTCTTTTTACTTTCTAAAATTGGAAGATTTTAAATTACATACATGGTTCATATCCTATTTCAGTTGGATTGCATGGATTTACAGTGTAAATAAATGGAATTTCCTACCTTTAATCAAGCTCCGACCCATGTATTGCACGCATGGCTGAGTGCTGACTGTGGCTAAGAGTAAATGGTCTTTACTTTGGCTGTTCTGCCTTAAACATTCAGAAATACTCGGTCAGCAAGCAGCTCAGACCTCAATCACAATGGTGACCTATGCTATTCGACTCCCAGGAAACCAAGGCAACACTGCCCAGTGTGTATATTTACCCAAATGATATTTGATAACACACGCATACACACATTTCTTCAAAGAACAAGAGAATTTTTCAGAAAAAAATAACTTTAGTATAATGTCTGCATAGATCCGGTGTACCATTAGTTATTAGGTGGGTAAAAAGATGGTCCCGAATTCTCTAAGGAAAAATGTGTACTTAACAACTTGTAAGACCATTGACCTCTAAGACAATGTTCAAAAGAAAGTATTTTCTTTGCTTTAAGAAGAAAGTCAGAAAGAAACTGCCTTGGCTTATGTTAGTTAGCTCTGGTATTACCAAGTAGGCAAATGTCACTTTCCCCTAATTTTCCCTTGTGGCATCCTTCCCCTTCCAGCTCTTCTCCCTGTTTGGAAATCCCAGTGCCTTTCTCAGCTTTGTATCTCTTATATCTCTCCACAGAAAAGAAAATTATCTGTTATTATAAGGCAGTAGAAGTGTGGGCTCAGAGGCACATGTGGTTTTCAGAAGTTTCCCAGTTGAATTTGGGATTCTTTCACTCCACTCCAGTTGAGAACCACTGCCCTGAGACCAGATGAATCTGGCATACCTCCAGGAATATTTGCATTTTTAAAGAGGGTCACAGAAGGGGCACCTGGCTGGCTCAGTAGAACATGTCACTCATGATCTTGGGGTCTTGAGGCCAAGCCCCACACTGGGTATACAGCTTACTCTTAAGAAATTAAATAATTAAATAAGAATAAATAAAAGGAATGGGCAAAATAGAACAATGTTTAAGGAATGCCTGGCTGGCTTATTTGGTAGAACACGTGACTCTCAATCTCAGGGTTGTGAGTTTGAGCCCCAGGTTGGGGGTAGAATTTACTTTAAAAAAATAAAAATAAAGAGGGTCACAGAATGGGTACAGAGCTTAGTACAGGGAATTAATCATGGACGGAGGAATTCTAGGCACTAGGAGCTGAGTTTTAGATGAGGGTGGAGGAGAAGAGCCTCTGTGATATTTTTCCATGATGACTGCATCATGAATAAGGGTCTGACTTGAGAGTTTTGGAGAAGATTGGTTCAGTCTATTACCTGATTGCCTAATGCCTAAACATCACAAAGTTAATTTCCACTTGGCTTAGTCTCTACTAACAGATACTAATGGGCTAACAGGTTACCTTTTTCAAGTGATATAATGGCGTTTCAACATGTTTTCTGGAGATCCAATGCTTTAACCCAAAGAATTAGTCTGGTGAGAATTTTAGCACTGTTGTAGGCTGGCAGGGGTCAGGTTTTCAGCTTGACTGGCCTTTGGGATGTACTTCAAATTGCACGAAATAAATAACAGCTTATATCTAGGTAGGGCCCAGTCTCCTCATTTACTTACTAGCTGTCTAGGATGCTGTTGTATGATATATAGTTTGTTGTTTTTGGAATGAAATGATAAATGTGAAAGTAGAATAATATTCTGATCAGACAAGGCCTTTCAGAAATTCTCTTCTGCTTTTTTATTCCTTTTGACATACCCACACAGTTTCTTATAGCTCAGCATACTCCCAGGGCATTCTTTTAAAAGTCTTTTTTTTTTTTTTAAGGTTTTATTTATTTATTTGATAGAGTGAGATATCACAAGTAGGCAGAGAGGCAGGCTCTCTGCAGAGCAGAGAGCCTGATGCGGGGCTTGATCCCAGGACCAGGATCATGACCTGAGCCGAAGGCAGAGGCTTCACCCACTGCCACCCAGGCACCCCCTCCCAGTGCATTTGAAAGTGATTCTGACTTGCATTATTTTTGCTATTCATATATTTCAGTAAGTATAGTTGCTAACACTAAGAACTATATTTCCAAAGGAGTACATTCATATAGCATTCTATTTTCTTTTTAACTTGGAAATTATTTTAAGTGGCATTCATTGATATTCTAGACTCTCAAGAGATAATTTTTCAGCATGCATCTGCTGACATGCTTCCTACCACATCCTTCAAGGTTCAAGTGTCCCCCAGATAGGGTAGGGTGGATAGTCAAGACTATATAATTTCTGGCTTCAGGTGGGGAATACCAGAGATTTCAGAAAACCACGTTCTAGTGTAGTAAGGCTAATCTAGTTGTGTAGCAGAGTACTGTAGAGGAGTATTCAAAATGTACTGGGGCAATGTAGGTGTTTTTAGGGTTGTTCATATTAACTATGTACATTCTTGATGTCTTTCAACTTCCTAATTCCCTTAACCTCAGCTTTATACCTTACCAAAAAAAAAAAAAAAAAAACCCCAAAACCAAAAAATACCCACAAAAGGTCCTCATAACCCAAAATGAGTAATGTGGTAGGCAGAATAATAGCCCCTAAAGATCTCTCTGTCATCTTCCTTGGAATATGTGAATATATTAGTTTATATAGCAAAGGGGAATTAAGGTTGCAAATCAAATTAAGGCTTTAATCATATGACCTTAAATTAGGCAGTTATCCTGTATTACTCAGGTGGGCCCAATATAATCACAAGGGTCCTTAAAAATGAATGGAGGCAGAAGGGAGTCAGAGAAAGAAATGTAGCAATGAAAACAGGGTCAGAGGGTTGCTGCCATGCTGACTGTGAAGACGGAGAAGTGGGGCAAGAGATAAGCAATCCGATCAACCTCTAGTAGAAGGAAAGGCAAGAAAATGGATTCTTCCCTAACTCTCCAGAAAGAAACACAGCTGAGCCAACATCTTGATTTTAGCTCAGTTAAACCCCTGCCACTCCTCAGAATTACAGAACTGTAACATATTTGTATTGTTTTAAGTCACTGACTTTGTGGTAATTTATTACAGCAGCTCTAGAAAACTAATACAGCTGGTGACTGGGTTTGTGGTTCTTTATAATCAAAGATAATTCTCCTAACCAAGTCTGTATAAAATCAGCATTTTTTTTTTACATCATCCCACATAATTCCTCTTTCTCCAAGTAGAGAGCAGTCACAACTAATTTTTGAATGGTTTATGTTCTTAACCGTCTTAAATGATGCCACATCCAATTATATTTCTCCTGATGAATTACAACTTGGTTATTTTTTGGGACATTATTTTATTAGATCAGTCTTAAGTTCACAGCAAAATTCAGAGGAAGGTACAGAGATTTACTGCATACACCTTGCCCCCACACTTGGCTATTTTTTAAAGCCCCAATCACAGAAGTGTTTGGGGCTTTAAAAACACCTATTTGTTTGAAGACCAATGTCTGATTCCAGTTTTCCTAAATAGTGTTGCTGTAATGAAGGTTTATATTACCAATTTCTGTAAATCCATTTGGTGTTGTGTAAAACACTTTTTTTTTTTTTTTGTTAGAAACTAAGCTTCTTTGAGGCCTTAATTTCCCCCCCTCTCTCTGTCCTAATAGTAATTGCCAGATCAACTCTTAGCACACTCCTCCAAAGCTGCGGGAAGGAGGAGCGGCCCCACCTGGGGGGTAAAAGGGTTTAGAAACCTAACTCCTGCAAGGCACCTTCGCGGTATTCAGATTATTTCTCCCTCCAATAAGGAGGGAGAAACTGATAAAGAAACAACTGATAACAAAACAAATGAGTGAAATGCTTTGTTACAGGTTGCATCCCTGTGTCCTCCTCCCCACCTACCGCTTAGAGAGTTCCTCAGAGTGGGAAAGCTTGGATTAAGTAGAGAGGTAATAGACACAGCGTAGAAAAACTATTTTATGGTATTTTGAGATGACTGGGTAAGAGTTACCAAATAAAGTGCAAATAAGTTAATACCAGTTTCACGTATATGGCACATCAGTACTCAATCTTAGCGTCTTAAAAAAATACGCAACTTCTATCTCCAAAGTTAGAGATATTAGAGATATGTAACAATTTATGTGGTTTTCGGCAAAAGTCAAGGAAGCCGCAGAGGGAGAGGAAGCATTGACAGCCGCAAGACTCGCTGACAGCGCGGCCACCGCGGCGGCGTGCCTGTGTGGCTGCGTGCGCGCGCGATGGGGCGGAGCGGAGCTGGGCGCGCGCGTGGGGACGGAGCGGGGCGGGGGGAGCCCAGAGGGCGGGCGGGCGGGCGCGCGCCCGGGGCTGTCTGGCCGGCAGGGGGCGCTGCGCACCCACGCCGCGCACTGCCTGCCCCCGGGTGCTGTCCGCGGCGGTTCGATTGGAGCAGCCGCCGAAGAGCGCTTGGCGCCATTTTGAAGCGGAGAGGAGGAGGAACGGCCGGGCTGGCTGCGGAAGGGGAGGGGGGGAGGAGGCGATTGGATGCGGCGGCGGCGGCGGATCCCGGAGAGCAGCGGAGTGAGAGGAGTAGCGAGTCGGGAACCCGGAGGTAGGAAACAATTCAGTTAACGGAAAGAAAATGTCTCTCTTTTCTGATCGCCGTGCTCCATTTTTCAGCGCCCGCCACCGCGGCTGTGTCTGTGGCGGGGCTCAAGCGCCTCCCGCCTGCCAGCCGAGACTCGCCTCACGGCATCGGGGGCTGCAGCCGCCGGCTGCCTGGCGGCGGCCCGGGCCCGGAGGAGTGGGGCGCGGGCCGGGGGCGTGGGCCGGGCTGCGCGGTGGGGGTGGGGAGGGCCCCGCGCCCGGGCGCGCTCCCTCCACGCCGCGGACTCAGTCACAGCCTCGGGAAATTAAACTTGCCGCCCTGGCCCCAGCCGGGGCGCCCGCGGCGGCGGCGGCGGGCGGCGGGCGGTGACCTTGCGCGCGGGCGGGGGTCCGCGCCCCGCAGCCTGGTCGCCCGCGCCCCGCCGCCGCCGCCCCTCCCCCCGCGTCCCGGCCGGCCGGCGGCTGTTTCCCGGGCGGCAGGCGGGCGGCGCGGTGCTCCTGTTGAATCCTCCCGCTGGCGGGTTTTCCCCCTTCCGGGCGAGGGGTGGGGAGCGCGGGTCGGGGCTGCACCCCGGGCTGCGTGCGGGCCTCGGGCGCCCTCGCCCCTCCGCCGGGTCCCCGCGCGCCTCGCCCGTGCCGCCCAGCCTTTGCTCCGGGCGAGGAAACGGGCTGCTAGAGTGACATTTTTACACTGTTACTTGCCCGTGGCCGGAGATAAAGCGCGCTAAACGCGCTCTCGGAGCTGGTGCTGGGGGAACCGGAGGATCTGGTGGAGGAAGAGCTCCGCACTGGCTGGAAGGGCTCCTCCCGGCAGTCGGCTGGGCTCTGGCTTTCCTTTAGGAAGCCTCGGAGTTGGAATGACAATGAAAATGGTGTGCGGTTGTAGATAGTTGACGTTTTTGCACTCAGGTTAGTGACACTTGAAAAGTTTTTGGTCAGAAGGAAAATCTTGCACGTTGTTTCTGCTGCTGTTTTTTGGTGCACACGTTCAAGCTACGCCAAGCAGAGGTACAGTTATTTTGAGGGAATGAATCTGAACCCTGAAATGCAGCGCCTCGCCTTCTGACTTGATTATGTTGCTGCCTACCATCCCGGGCACCGTGTAAACTCAGGGAAGGGCTCGGAACAGCAGTTCCCTACTCTCTCAACTCCTTTTAACGTTTTAAAAATCCTCACTAGCCCAATAAAAGGGAACCCTTTATTTTGCTTTGAAGATATACTATGAACGCTCTTCTTTTTTTTTTTTTAAACTTTTATTATGAAATGATGGATGGGTAGGGCTGTCCTGAACGACCCTACTCTTATTAAATAGTTTCGGAAACTTCGGATACAGCCTTTAATTTCGAAGGCCGGTCAGGGTCTTGAGTGAGTTGGGAGTCTTCTCCTGTCTTCCTAATAAAAGTGTGATTATATATGAGGTGAGCTGTAAATAAATTGCAATTATTTAAAACTTGAATGGATATACAATCATTGTTCTCAACTTACACACGTAAAGTTCCAAGATAGAACATTGTATTAACTCACGTACTACTTACATAGAAGTTAAAAAAAAAAAATAGAAAAGTGTGATATTAAGCAAAATAAAGGCTGAAAAGGACACTTCTTATCTATGCAGTACATTTGTCAAAGATGTTAGCATTTTTAGGGACAGTAAGATGAGCATTCCTATTGTGTATGCAGGTCAGTTTGTGGAACAGTTAATCTTGTATCACCTGGTGATAGCAGAAAACCCAATTAAAATTTATAGTGGTGAGTATGTAGGTGAAAGTTTCAACTTGGGACGTCTTATGTTAAGATAGATTTATTCTCACAAACTTAACTATAAAAACGTCTTCAATCAGAACATTACTCTCTGGAAATAAATTTACAAATACGTATAGGAAAGGTGCACTTTAGACATTCTTTGATTACTGAAGTACCTGAAGTAGTGCTTTTTTTTTTTTTTTAATGGTTTAAAAAATTATTTTTTCCGGTGGGTGTTACTTCAAGGTGTGAATATTTTAAATGAGCAAGTAATGTTTGAATTGGCACCTCTCCCCGCCTTTTTTTGAAAAGAACTTTTGTGCCCTTTCTTATTTTCTCCTTTTTTTTTTTTGAGATTGATTCTTCTTGTATTAGCTTTGTTTTTACAGCAGCTTTTGTTTCCTTTCTGTTGATTTTATTCCTCTCTAGTTATATCTGTCTTTTCCCTCACTTTTTCTGGGAATTACGGGAGATAAGGTGATGATAGTGATGCTTGTTGTTAAGAGATGTCATGCAATGTTACTAAGCTTATTTGACGGGTAGTCTAAGTTGGCTGTTGGATAAAAGTTGCTTTATTTTTAAATTTATTCAAAAATTGTTCTGCAGCTTTACTAGATCCAAAGAGTAACATTTTGAGGATTGGGCTTTATCAATAATTTGTTAAGCCTAAAATAAAGTGATCCCCTGGATTAGGACTTACTCTGTGAAGAATAAAATGGTAGAATATACCCAAAACAGTGTGGAGGGGACTATTTTGGGAAGTTGTTTTTTCCTCTTGAATTAGGATTGTCCTTTGGCTTCCTCATTGCTACTTTTTTTGATCATGTGTGCCTAAAATTATCAGGAGGACTCAATTGTGATTTGACTTGGATGACAAGTACTGTAAATAAGAAAACAATAAATTTATGTTTCCTTTGTGTTAGCTATAAGGAAACTTAAAGATGGTCATCAACTCACAATATGCATGAGAAATTAGGTTCAGATTTTAATTTAATTGATTTATCCAGAATCACAGCCCTGTTTGTGTGGTGGAATTGGGGTAATTCTGTTTCTTGTGGAAGTTTAAAATCTTCAACATTGTATTGTTTAATTCAGGACTTAAGTGATATTTGAAATTACTGCCAGGTAGCATGTTATTCTTCATTACCTTCACCCTTCTTTTCATTCATTCAGTCAAGAAATAAAGTTTGAAGGTTAACCATCTATTTCGAGTCTGGTTTCAATAATTTTTATCCAGGATTCAGTCCACTTCAGCTGTCTTAGAAGATAACCTCTTGCGTGTCTTTCTCTTCTGGAGGGGCTTGATGTTTCATTGTGCATTGTTACTCGACATGGCATTTATTTATTTTTCCCAAAACTTGTAAGCCAGAGTAATTTTAAGGTTAGTATAAAACTTTACTTTGTTATAAGATGTATGTATGTGTATGAGGGTGGTTTTTTTTTTTTTTTTTTTTCACTTTTAAACTCCATTTGCTGTACAAGTCATTTGTCACTTCCAATTCAAATAGATATTTGGAGAAAATTGTGTTTAGTTTGAGTATTCCTGTTTGGAAATGTTAAAAATTCCAAAAATAGTTAGTTTAAAAATAAGCCCAGTAATTTCTCCGAGAATGTACTTTTTAAGCGTATTTAAGAAGCTGCCAAATGGTTCGCAGTTCTGACTCCTCCATGTGTAGAAGTCAGCTCTTCCTCACGTTGTAATGCTATCAACCTGATTATAACCATTTTCCCCAATATGTGGAAAAGGTTTTTAGCCTTTTCTCACTAATTAGTTCAAAAATAGGGTAAGTTTGCTGCTTTGAGGCTGTAATTGTTTTAGTTGGCAGGGGTGATCATGCACAGTGAGAAAATTATGAAGGTTAAACTTGGATGAGCAAAATTTAGTTGTTTAAAGTAAATCTTAAAGTCAATAATCTAAGATATTTAAAAAATCCATAAGAGTTATTGTGTTCTAATGATTAGAAATTAATAAGAAGTGGTAATTAGAAGTACTTGGCTTAGTTGTAAAACTTATAAGTGGCTAAGGGCAGTGATGGAAGACTGATTAAAGCAGGAAGTATCTTTAAAGGGCATGACCTGGATGTACTCCTCTAACCTGCCTCTCCCTTCTACAGAGAATGCTCTAACATGATTTAGGTAAAATGAACAGATATTACGTTTGCATATACATAGAGTACCGGAGATGATGCAATTAAAAAGGACTGAGATCTTGCCCTATAGAAGTTTTAGAGTAGTGGTTGGTCATCTGCACCAAGGTGGTGAGAGCTGAGAAAACCAGACAGTAAGATTCCTCCTGTTAAGTGATTCTGCATGGGGCAAGCCTTCGTCCTCCTTGGGAATAATAGAGATTGCTCTTTATGTGGGAGAGCGAAATTAGCCTAGACTAGATATAAAACTGATAGGAGAAGGAGAGGATATTATAACCATAAGGATTGTCTCTCTCTAGGAGAGGATGGTTAGGGCCCCAACAGGAAATGAGAGTTAAAGGTTCCTTGGGCAGTGTAGGGATTCTTTTTCTCATTTTTCATCTCAGAGGTGATTTTAGAGTGAAGAGATTTTAAGGAAAAACCCCAGATATAGATCCAAAGTATATTTCCAAAATATATCCTCTACTAGCTAAAATTCCCATCAGGCAATTCTAGTCAGCCTTTAGATGTTGAGATGGAGGAGTAGGGGGAGTGTGTGGACAGTTGATGGTGAGAGTAGCGGTTAAGGTTGTGGGGATTAGAGGACTTTGTATGTCTTAAGTTAAAAGTTGTAGATGTATATGATAAAAAAACCTGATGGTACAGAGAAGTAAAAATAAAAGCTATTTTTCCTCTTCTCTCAAAAGGTAATTCACTTTTAGCAGTTTCCAGAAAGTTTACTTTTCAAAAAGTTTATACAAATAGTATTATATTATACTGTTTACCTTATTTAACTGCAGTTTACTTTTTGCTTAATGTTACAGAGCTGTTTTCCTATTGGCACATATAGATCAACATAATTAAAAATGATTAGAATATTTTATTATATGGATATATAATAATTTTTTTGTTTTGACTTCTTTTTGAGTGGTATTTAGGTTGTAACAGTTTATACTAACCAGTGGTGTATGAGTATGCTTATTTCATGTTCACCAACATTGGACTTTATTAAACTTTATGCTTTTTGCCAATTTGATAAGTGAAATTTTTATCTTGTTTTGGTTTTGCATTTCTTTGATTATTAATAAGGGAAAACTTTTTTTTTTGGTATGATTATTGGGCAGAGGTTCCTTGT